AGTAATAATGAACATGCTAGTAATAATGAACATGCTAGTAATATTGATTTGATCATCACATATTGTACACAAATACTGATAGTCAATGCTGTACTGAAAAAATATGTATAATCAATTTTGTTTCAATTTTTTTTTTTTTTTTGTCTTTTTCCGTGTCCAGCAACGGATCGCAACCCTCAGTGTTGCCCCCGTACCGGACCCGGGACCGGCAACGGGATTGCAACCCTCGGCATTGCTCCCGCGCCTCGCTCAGCCAGTGAGCAGGAACCGATCTCCACATGGGATCCGAACCCTCGGCGGGCCAAGCGGCTGCGTCTCCAGTGCGCCACCGGGCCGGCCCAAGGGCATCCATTTTTGAAACAGCCATTTGGGTTGAGGGATACAGAAAATGGCCTTGAAACAGATCAAAGCTAATTGGCCCTCAGGGTAAATAAGCTCGTGACCTTGGCGTCATTAGCCCTGTACTGTAACTAGTTGAAGGAACCCGCCCTGGCAGAAGTTCCACCTCCCTAAAGAAGCTCCAGCATCTAAAAATTATCCAACAAGGCTTATGATTTTGCTGACCTAACTTCTGCCCTGGTGATGAGTGCTTAGATGGTGAGTAAGTAAAGGTGGAGATTCTGTGTCAATCCTGGGATGAGTGACCCTGGGATCACTGTCAAGCAGAAAAAACGTGTTAGTCATGCTTACTTTATAGGATTTGTATCCAGGCCAACGCCAGTAGATATTTTACTGAGATAAATGTTGATAGCCTTGCTCCATCATGAAAGCTGTTGAGGTAGGTTTTGGCCAATAGAAAGCCTCCACGTGTATCACAAACAAAAGATGTGACAGGTGGCACTTTGAGTGCAGTAGACTCGTTTGCATCTCAGTCTTGCCTTACCTCTTCATACTGTCTGGATAAATTATCACATATGCCACACCAACCCTAACTGTGAAACAGATTAATGAAGCTGCAGTTCGAGACTGTACACAAGAGCAAAAGGGTTTTTTTCTTTCCAAGGCCCAAGAAAACAAGGGAGTCATGCCGTTCAGTGGAAACGGAGCCACCAGCAGTTCCTGGCAGTCTGTTCTCTGCTGCTGGTTTATGTTCCCCACACTTCAAGACCTATTGCCAAGTAGGTTTATCAACATTCCCTCAGAGCACCTCTTTTCTAACCTTCTGATTGGCCAGTGGGATGGGCAGGGGATAGGCGTGAACGTTTTGGTTCTTCCTATTTTCAGGCAAGGGCCGGTTCCTCTTATCAAAGTCTCTCTTCCAAAGTAAAATAAATAGGCAAAAAATTCAATTAAAAACCCAGATGAGGCGATTATTACTCTTCTTTTTTCCACGTCCTCCTTCACACTAACACACAGTAAACATTTTCTGCAGAGGCCAACTTCTTCCTCTGTGTAGACTGGAATACTTCCTCTGAGGTTATAGATTTTTCTGCATAGAATCTCGTTTTTCTTCCCTCTTTGACCTCACAGCCAATTGATGTTGAAGACAGTTAGAAACTCATTAAAATAGTAATGGAATATTTATTAGGGTTTTTAATATTGGAGAGTGGTAATAAGAAACCCAAGGTGGGCCCTGATCTCTCTCCCAGATGCCAACCCACCCTATTAAACTTTAGATCTTCCACCCCATCTCAAGTTGCTTTACTCAAAGTTAAGCACTACTAACCATTTCTTGAGATTCTTTCCAGAAGAAAAAATCATGCGTATACCTGAATGTATATATGTACCCATCTCCACGTATAATGTGTGTATTTTAGCACATCAGGGATTATACTGTACGTACTGTTCTGCACCTGGCTTTTTTCCCTTAATGATGCATCTTAGAAATCTTTCCATATTGGCAGACACAGATGCATCTCATTCTTTTAATCAACGCATAGTAATCCATTATATGGATGTGCCGTTTTTATTTATTCAGTCCCTGTACTGATGGACATTTTGATGTATTTTTATAACCAGGACAAATATAACACTTTGGTGACCATCCTTGCACATACATCTTGTTAAAATGTCCCGTGCATACTCAGAGGGTAAATTCCTAACAGTGACATTACTCCTTCAAACGGAATGTGAGTTTTTCATATTGATAGATATTTCCAAATTGTCCTCTAAAAAGGTTATGCCCATTTTTACTCTCAAGAGCATAAACATCCATTTTGAATAGATAGAAAAATAATATTTTTCTCAGACTTGTGTAGCTGGTGTCTGTTTTTATTCTTAAAGTGTTCTCTGTGTTTTAGCTTCTGGACATCTGATACGTTAATAAGTGATGCTCAAATCGTCTCTCTCCCCTGCCCTGTCCTGAGGATCCACCCAGCTCCAAAGCCAATCAATAGAGGAGCTCTTGTCCCACACCTTAAAAGTTAATGTCCAGCCTGTGCCAGGCCAGAAAATGTTGTGGGTTCTAATTATGAGGACTGTCCACTGATGGCACTCTATCCCCAGATACCTACCACAAGGGACACCAGGGCTCCAATCCCAGGAAAAGCATCCCAGGAGACAGGATTGACTATCCCACCCCAAATCAGACACATGGGATTTTGAGAGGTTATCACCAACTCTGTTGCTTTACACAAGCAAGAGAGAATCTTCTTTGATGCTTGTAAAGGAAACTCAACACCTATAGGCTTCATCAGGGAAATGGAGCTCATCATGCAGACAGGAAAGCTGGGAGGAATGAGTAACCACCTGAAAGCTCTTTGAAGCGTGTTCCATCACAGCTAAATGCTTCTTCATAAAACCTGATTTTTGATGTCTGTTTGGCATCATAGGCTTCTCAACTATTGGGCTGTCAGACCTAGGATTTGGCACTATGTATTTTTACAGTTGAACAGGAATATTACACATGAAAGCTACTCAAATATCTGATATTACAGAATAACGTAGGCAAAATAGATATTGTGGTGGGTAGATTATAGTTATTTTATGTTGGTAATGTGCTTCAGCTACCATACAGGGACTTGGTGAGATTGCTGTCATATTTGGTAAAGTATCTGCAACTCCTAGGAGGAAAGCTGGAAAAATGAATGCAAAATAATGATGCACAATCTGCTCGACTCTCCCCTGTCACACGGTGGCATAAACACTGGCAAAGTAAGAGGGCAGTAGGATCTCCATGTTTAAACCTCACTGCTGTACAGGGAACAAGAGGCCAAGTATTGTACCAGATGCAAGAATTAACTTTGCCCGGGGGGGGGGACAGGGGCTTCCAGATGTATTAACTGAGAGAAGGAAGGAAAGGGAATGGGAAGAGAACTCCAAACGGAGAGGCAAAAGGAAAGGAAATAAGGAACATATATAAAGAATATATAAAGAATATCATTACCTAAAGGTCTCTCAGTGAATTTCCTTAAAGTCCACAGGGACAGGGGCCCTTGTCCCATGCTTTCGGAGTGATTTGACTAAGGATGCTAAGCAGGCACTTGACAGTGTGAACTTGTTCAGATGGTCCTTGATGGGCCATTATTCATTTTCTGAAACTGAGCCAAATCTCTCTTTCCCTCTGTTCCTTTCTCTTTGTCTCCCCTAGCTACTTTGCTTTCCTAAGTAATCAGACATGGATTTTATTTTGAAGATGTTTACATTCTTAGGGAGATAAGTCATTTAAAATAAGGAAGAATGCAACAAAATCCATAATAAAAGTCCAGATAATGAGCCATAGGAGTTCAGAGGAGGGAGATGAAATTTCCACCTGTCATGGGGCGGGGGTTATGAATTGTGGTATTTTTGAGTTTAGTATTTACTATGAATGCCTAAGTTATGTGGGTATGGAATGGGAGAAAGCCCTTTCCAGGCTGTGGGGTTGGCAGGAATAAATCAGAGAGATCTGGAAGCATGGAGCATGCGTAGTGAAGGAGGATGAGATTGTTTTGACTGGAGTGAAGGGCACACAAGTGTAGTGAGAAGGCAGTTTCAGTGGGATGGTGGGGCTCTAATCTGCAGGGCCTTGAACATCCATTGTCATTGGTTAAACTATTGTTAGGAAGGACCTGGTCCCCTGCAAAAGACAGGGCAAACTGGGAGGGGCTAGATCTGTCGAAGGATGGGGCAGGAACCTTGAGGAAGTCTAGACTGGCAGACAAAGCATGGGAAGGGATGTGCAGAAGAATATGGCAACAGATGACAGGTGGTCACCTGGGCAAGCAGAGTCGATACTGGGAGGTGGTTACAAGTCTCAAGGAGGGGAGGTGCTGGTACTGGGTAATGTAGAAACAGGTGGCACTTAGAAATGCGATCGGGAGTGAGGGAATAAGAAAGTCTTACAGCAGTTAGCAGGCTCCAGCCCCTATACTCAGGTTCACGGGAAGACTTCCAGACTCTAAAAGGAGGGAAGGGCAGAATGGAAAGCAAGAAACTGGGCCTCTATCCCAGAGGGACCAGGCAGATTTCCAAGCCAGGAGTCAAACCTGGAACACGGGGCCTGATTAGCACTGAGAATGGTTCGATGCTCCATGCCAGAGTGCTGAGCCAAAGTCTTTTCATTCCTTCTGCTTAAGGTTATGATTGATCTTAGATGTTGGGTTTGCAGGTGGGAGCAAAGAGGTCCAGCTGTGCAGAGGGCAGGAGGCAGATGCTGGAGAAACAGACAGGGTCCACTGCTGGCTAAAGAGCTTGGGCTTTATTTGGTAAGCAAAGGGGAAATTTGGAAAATTTAGAACAGGGGAGCGTCTTGATTGGAGCCGTATTTCAGGAAGATTAGTTTGATTCTAGTGTGTAAAATGAACTGGAATTAAGTGAGTCCTTACCTGTAACAGATTTCTGGCATTTCCTTTCCTAAATGCTTGTACTTCTCCAGTGTGTTCACTTCTCTCCATGCATCCTTCTAAAACTGTGGGATAGGAGTGGGGGCCTGACCCAGCGTGCGGGTTGGGCCACAGGTGTCACGTGGCCTGCGCTTTGGACCGTGGTGCGTACTTATGCTCCCTATGTCACATTTCCTGTGGCATTAATGGTCAGGGCTGTGGACTACCACCTGGAATGGTTCATCTGGGAAAATGATCCCCAGCCTGTAGAGGAGGAAAAAAGCATCTCTGAGGGCCGCCAGGAGGATCGCAAGCTGGATGAGCTGCTAGGCAAGGACCATGCCAGGGTGGTGAGCCTTAAGGACAAACTGGAATTTGCCCCCACCGCTGTCCTGAGCAGAAACCACCCAGAGAAGAATTAATGGAGGACACAGGGCCCTATGGTCCTACTGTGGGCCACGACTGGCCCTGCCACCACATACATTCAGCCCCGGAATCCATGTCTGATTTGCTTTGTTGCTTATTCTGGCCCCTCCCATGCCACACAGCCACACATGTACTGACTGCTCCTTTATGGCCAGGCAGACACTGCAGCAGCTGAGGGGCTGGTGAGGAGGAAGACTCTTGAAGGTTCTGGCCTGAAGGCTGCGTCTGTCGTGTGGTGGCCACCACTGCTCGGCTTCCGAGCGTATGGGTGCACTTCCAGGGGGAGTGTTATGAAATGAACATTGGCTGTCAGTCTCCATGAGGAGATGGATTGGCCTCCAGTGGGAATGGTCGCGATTTGGGTGTTGCCTTTTAGGAGGGATACGTACATGTCTAATTCCAGTCTGCACTGGGAAGAATTCAAAAATCCACCTGGCTCCCTTCCTTTGTATGCCCTGTCCTTTGTGCTCATTCTTTGTGAAATCTGTCCTGCCAGCTTAGGAATGGTATTCCCTGGGGAAGGAAAGCATTTTTCTGTTCTTGGAAGCCCACGCTGTTCACTGTAGGTCAGAGAGAAACATGTGCCGGGTGAATTTGCTTGAAAACAATCACCATCTTTCACCCCCATTGTTGTATAGTGCAAAACTGATGGATTAAAGTAGCATCTGAGAACTGAAGAAAATAATAATAAAAAGAAAACTGTGGGATAAACTATATTATTAAAATTAATAAAATTAATTAATAAAATATCAATTCCACCTTTTTCTTTTTACTCTTTTAAGGTGGCCTCTAGAGAAGTTAGAATTACGCAAGTGGCTCCCATTGTATTTTGACGGGGCAGTGCTGCCCTCATCGTTTCTCCATAGTGCAGTCAGATCTTTTTATTTTTATTTTTTATTTTTATTTTTTTATTTTTATTTTGTCAATATACACTGTATATGATTATTATGGCCCATCACCGACACCTCCCTCCCTCCTCCCTCTCTCCCCTCCCCCCCAAGAATGTCCTTTCCGTTTGCTTGTTGTAACAACTTCATGAAAGTATAGTTGTTATATCTTCTTCCCCAACCCCCCCCGGTTTTTTTTTTTGTGTGTGTGTATGTGGGTGGATTAATTTGTTTGTTTTTTAGCTCCCACCAATGAGTGAGAACATGTGGAATTTCTTTTTCTCTGCCTGACTCGTTTCACTCAATATTATTCTCTCAAGGTCCATCCATGTTGTTGCAAATGGCAGACCACCAACAATGTATGAGAGTTCCTTTTTCTCCGCAACCATGCCATTCGACAAAGGCATTAAGCCTATTCACTGGGGTCAGGACTCCCTCTTCAGCAAAGGGTGCTGGGATAACTGGTTATCCATTTGCAGGAGATTGAAACTAGACCCACATCTCTCACCATGTACTAAAATCAACTCAAAATGGATCAAGGATTTAAATATACACCCCGAAACAATAAAACTTATTAAAGAAAACATAGGAGAAACCCTTCAGCAAATAGGGCTGGGCACAGACTTCATGAATATGACCCCAAAAGCACAGGCAACCAAAGGAAAAATAAACAAATGGGACTATATCAAACTAAAAAGCTTCTGCACAGCAAAAGAAACAATTAACAGAGCTAAAAGACAACCAACAGAGTGGGAGAAAATATTTGCAAAATACACATCCAACAAAGGACTAATATCCAGAATATATAAAGAACTCAAACAACTTTACAAGAAAAAAACAAGCAACCCAATCAAAAAATGGGCAAAAGAACTAAGTAAGCATTTCTCTAAAGAAGATATGCAAATGGCCAACAGTCATATGAAAAAATGCTCAACATCACTCAGCATCCAGGAAATGCAAATCAAAACCACACTGAGATACCATCTCACCCCAGTTAGGATGGCAAAAATCCAAAAGACACCGAAAGATAAATGCTGGCGTGGCTGCGGAGAAAAAGGAACTCTCTTACACTGTTGGTGGGAATGCACAATGGTGCAACCCCTATGGAAAATGGTTTGGAGGTTCCTCAAACAGCTGAAGATAGACCTACCATACGACCCAGCTATCCCACTGCTGGGAATATATCCAAAGGAATGGAAATCATCAAGTCGAAGGTACACCTGTATTTGCAAAATACATGTCTGACAAAGGACTAATATCCAGAATATATAAAGAACTCAAACATCTTTACAAGAAAAAAACAAGCAACCCAATTAAAAAATGGGCAAAAGAGCTAAGCAGGCATTTCTCTAAAGAAGATATACAAATGGCCAACAGTCATATGAAAAAATGCTCAACATCACTCAGCATCCGGGAAATGCAAATCAAAACCACACTGAGATACCATCTCACCCCAGTTAGGATGGCAAAAATCCAAAAGACGCTGAAAGTCAGATCTTTTTAAAATGCAAGTCTTCTCACATAACTCACCTGCATGGAATCTCCCGATGGTCTGCACTGCCCCCGATAGAGTCCACATTCCCTAACAGGGCTCCCAAGCCTTGCCTCCTGTAAAGCTAGGGCTAATGTCGAAATCCTGTCGATGCAGCCAATCGTCAGGCTACACAAGACTACGCCACTTGTCGAGGAAGGCAAATCATAACTAAAGCCAAAATGTTTCATTATTTTAGTTATAATAAGTTTCCATCTGTATTGTCAGGGCTAGGGCTCAAACCCTGCAAACCCATTGTATGGGCTGGGTCACCAGACCCTTCACACGCAGGTCCACGCTAGGTAATTGGGAAAGATCCCGGGAGCCACTGGCAGATGACACGAGCTCAGTCCTTAGCAATGGCAGCAGCAGCTTACAGGGCCAGCAGCATACAGGTCTGGCGGTGGCGGCGGCCTGCTCGGAGGGCCCCGGGGGCCCTGGCATCTATTACACCATGAGGCAGGTACCATGTGTGTCTTGTTGGAAGTTCTACAATGCCTAGCACAGTGCCTGATATATAGTGGACACTCGGTAAATGTTCATTGCATAATAACAGATAGGTAAACATCAGAACAATTGCAGAATCAGAGTACATCAGAGTAAGTCTTGGGACATTATGATCTACCCTTTGGCTAGGTGACTCTCTTACCTCTACTGATTTCTGTTCTATTTAGCAGGCATATCAATTGGGATGTAGGTTTGGCTGCTTGTTATTTCTCTCTCACAAATCAGTTCAGAGACAGGCAATCATGGGTGTTATGGCAGCTCTGTTCTATGGGACAATAGTCAGAACCAGCCTTTTCTGTCTTGCTGCTCCCCCATCCTAAGACGATGCCCTTGTCCCCTCAACAAAATCCTAGGAGGTCCAATTTTGTCTGGGAATCCTTGGAACCTATATCCAAGGTCAATTTTTTTTTTGAGTTTTTATTTATTATTATTATTTCTTTCCAAAGTCAATTTAATTTCTTTTAGGTACTTGGGAATGATTCTAGGACCATCTGGACACTCTGGGCAGCTTGAGTCTGGTATGGATTTGTAGAATTAATTATTAAGGAATTTCTCACTGCTTGCCTAATCACCACTTCACACCAAGCCCTCTCAGGTGGGAAAGACAAAAAACTTAGCCCAGGTTGGGCATGTATGCCAAGAATGCCAACTGGTCCTCATGCTAAGGTCACACAGCCATCAACCAGGGAGGTATGGTTTCCTCAGGCACAGGACACACTAACGTAACAGAAGGGCATCCTGGTTCCATATCTTGGCTATTGTAAACAGAGCTGCGATGAACATGGGAGCGCAGGTGTCCCTTTGACATGATGATTTCCATTCCTCTGGGTATATACCCAGAAGTGGGATTGCTGGATTGTATGTAAGATCTATCTGTAGTTGTTTGAGAAACCTCCATACTGTTTTCCATAGTGGTTGTACTAATTTACAGTCTAGTGGTTGTACTAATGTGCAGTCCCACCAACAGTTCAGGAACGTTCCCTTCTCTAGACACCCTCACTAGCATTTGTTATTCAACGTCTTTTTGATCATAGCCAGTCAAACTGGGGTGAGGTGGTATCTCAATGTAGTTTTAATTTGCATTTCCCTGATGACTAGTGA